GTGCTCTCTGCCACCTCCTTTCCCACCTGGGCTGGGGCCCAGGGAGCACCCCCAGGGAGCACCCCCAGGGAGCAACCAAGGATCAACCCGCCCTCTAGGCCCTGGAGAGGGCCTTTCCACCCTTTCCCTGCCCCTGCCTCTTGAAGATCTCCTTAGACAGAATGAGTATGTCAGACCCCAGGAGTGTACCATGGAGAGCCAGGGAGGGCCACTGCGGCCCAAGGAGGGCCAGGGATGGCCAGAGAGAGTTACAGAGGCCCATGGAGGGCCAGCGAGGGCCAGGGGGAGTCGGGGAGAGCCAGGGAGGGTTACAGAAGGCCACGGAGGGCCATGGAGGGCCAGCGAGGGCCAGGGGGAATTGGGGAGGGCCAGGGAGTGTTACGGAGGGCCACGGAGGGCCATGGAGAGCCAGGAAGAGCCAGGGAAGGCCATGGAGGGTTGGTGAGGGCCGCGGGGATTACAGAGGCCCATGGGGGCTCAGGGAGGACCAGGGAGGCTCAGTGAGTGTCAGGGAAGGTCAGAGACGGTCAGAGACGGTCAGAGAGGACGGGGAAGCCAGAGCTCCAGGGTCAGAGTCTCAGCTTCACCCCAGGACCTCCCACATTCAACCCCTGCCCGCCTCATTCTTGCTGCCCACTGAGCATGCGCGTAGGGCGGAGCCACGGCTCGGAACCTGAGGGCTAGAGAAGGAAGAGAATTTCCAAGGGCCCCTCTTGGGCGCTGGGGGGCAGGCAAGGCAGCCCCGCGGGAGGCTGGGCCGGAACAGGGCCAAGTTATGAAGTGAGGATGGCCTTTGAAGAACAAAGTGGGGGCTCTGAGTCCCAGCGTGAACGGCCACAAGCTGGCAGGGCTGCCGGGGCGCGGGCTCTGTTTTCCAAAAACACAGATGGGCTGGGAAGGGGGTCAGAGTGAGGCCGGCGAGTGTGGCCCCTCCCCACCAGGTTCTCATGGCTCAGCAACCTCATCCACAGGGGGCTGGAGGAGGCGGGGCTACCCCGGGGGTCAGGGGCCTCTGACCCCCAGGCTGGGGCCCTGCTGTCCTCGCTGGCAAGGCCCAGAGCCAGGCGTGGTGGGGAAGGATCCCTCATGGGGTCACGATGGGGAGCCCTGAGTGTGGCTGTGGGGGCTCGGGCTCAGCCCCCTGTGACCCTGCAGCCTTGGTCCGGGGATCAGCCTCCTGGGTCTAGACATCCTGAGCCCCTCTGGGAGCTGGGGAGGCAGGACCCATGGCCACCCCCGGCCTGACGGGTTCCAAGTGCAGCCTAGCCATGGGTCCAGCGGTGCCCCCAGGACCCCGTGTGCCTTGGAGGGTGAGGGTTGTGGGATGACCTTGTCGTACGGCCCCAAGCCCAGCTTCTTGGGGGGCCTGGGGGAGACTGACGGGATGGGCCCCCCACAAGAGGTGCCAAGTCTGAGCTGAGGCGGGATAGGGCTGCTTGGCACCAGCACAGGCTGACTAGTCTGCCGGGGACCCTTGATCAGCCTCCACTTTCGAAGGAATCTGCCTCCCTGTCGCTGTGCAGAGGCCAGAAACAACAGTGCCGGCTGGAGGGAGGGAGGGGGGCCGTCTCCCCCAGCCGGGGACAGGGGGTGGACACGGAAAAGCAGGAACCCAGCCCCCAGCCCCAAGTTCCTCAGAGCCCTGAGGACCCTCTGCAAAACACCAGCGGGGGGTGGGGTGGCACCTGGCCTCGGCTTGCCCGGCCGCACTCTGGGGAGCGCGTGCTGGAGGAAGTCACCCTCGAGGACTTCCCTCCCACCCCAGGGCTCTGCATTTCCGGGGCCGGGGCTCGGGGTCTCACTGGAGACTTTCCCAGAATGTTGGGGACCCAGTACTTTGTCCAGCTGCTGAGAGAGGCTGGGGGCTGAGACCCAACACACCCCTCTCCTTTCTAACCCTCAAGGCCTCTAGAGCCTGGGTGGCCAGCCCGCCGGGCATTCCGCGAAGTCCCCGTGAGTGCCCGATGGCACGGATTTGGAGACAGACCCTTTCAGAGAGGACGGCGGGCCTGGACAGCGCAGAGCTGCGCGCATCAAACGTGGAGCTCTGGTGCCCTCTGCTGGCCATATCTGTGAATGGCCGCCCTGGCCCTCTGCCTGGCGCGGACAGGTGCCCGCCCAGGGAGGCCGCCTGCACCGGGGGCCTGACCAGCAGGGCCCGAGGGCAGGCTCCCCAGTGGGGAACAGACGTCCCCCTCACGGCCTCGCGATGCAGAGGCTCACCGGGGCTCGGCCGGGGCTCTGCCACGGAGCCTTTCCTGGAGCTCAGGCCACCGGTTTCTGGTCTTGCTCCCTCTCCTGGGCCGGCGCCCCCAGGCACCAGGCCTTCAAGGGCAAGTGGGCCCACCCTGGCATCCCCGCATCCACCTCCCGTGGCCCTCTGGGTCTGCTCAGGCCTGGAGGACAGTGAGAACGGTAAATATTTACTGCCGACAGGAGAAGGCAAATACTGCCCCATGGACCAGGCAGAAGTGCCAGATCACCGGTGCCAGGAGCAGATGCAATCTGGGGAGCCAGCCTGGAGGCAGCTGCACTGGCAGAATGTCCTCAGTGTGTGGGCACCAGAGGGACAGACATCCTGGCTCTGGCCTTAGTCTCCCCGTCGAAAATGCGGGTGCAGCAGTTCCCACCCCACATGGCACTTGTGACGGTGACACGGGACAGACGTGGTAGCAAGTGAGTGTGGGGCTTTGACGTCCCTGGGGACCCTGGCCCCCCAGTGAGGGGCTGTGGGACCCGGCAGGCTCAGGAGGCTGCTCCTCCACACCCCGCTGCCCCTGGCTGGGGGCACTTGGACTCCTGCACCCCATGCCGGGTGACACACAGGGCTGGGTGTGGCCAACAGCACTGCCAGCCTCACGGGCGACGGAAGCCGGGTTCCAAGGGCAGGCAGGGTCTGAGGACACGGGAGGGCTGTCCTCCCGATTCCCAGAAGGGGTGGAGCGTGGCCCGGATATGGCAGCGGAGCCAAGGCCTGCAGCCTGGCCACCATGGGGTGACCTGGGGGCTCCAAGGGCCAGGGGCATCTGGGGCTCAGTGCCCAGGGTGGTGCCAAGCAGGAGACTGGGTCTGACCTCACCCCTGCCAGCTGGGACCCTGGTGACCTTGGGCATCTGCTTCTCCCTGCCTCCATGAGCAGGGAGGGGTTCTGGAGTGTCCCACCCTCCTCTCCAGGATCACGGCCATAGCGGGCTGGGGGCCGGTGGGAAAGGCTCACCAGGCAGGGCCCAGGCCACAGGGCCGAGGGCGGCCGCACACCATGACCCGCTCTCCCGGGTGGGCGGCCCTCCCCCCCCCCCCCGTGGACAGGGACCCTCTCCTGTGGCCCCAGCCGCACCCAGGACCGGCTGTACTGGGAGTCCCACCAACCGGGGTGGCCCTGTGCGTCCCCGGCCCCCAGGGAGTCCTGCGCTCCCTCCACAGAACTGGCCGGCACCTGCGGACGGGGGGCGGGGGAGCGCCTGGGTCATCTTTCAGGGTGTCGCCGGCCAGCAGGACACAGGCGCAGCCGACTGCTGCCTCCAGGGCGCCCTGGCCCGCCAGCCTCCTTCCCTCCCAGCTGCCCCAGCCCAGCCCACTCACCTGCTCGGCTCCTGCAGGACGCCCCTGCCTCTGTCCCTGAGGTTGGGGCCACCTGCTGTTCCCATGGACACTTCCTCCCCTCCTCTTCCGGGTCCAGTGTCCAGCCGTCCACCCAGGGGCGGGGCCAGCTGAGGACTGCCACCTCACCTCTGGGGGTGTCGATGTTGTCATGGGGAGGGGGCGGCCCTGGAGGGGTCCCGGGGCCGCAGGGAGGGAGGCCGGACGGCCAGGTCCCAGCAGGAGGATCCGCTTCGGGCCCCGGGCCGCCTCTGAGGGGTCTGCAGCCTCGGGGGGCCTGGGCGCCCGGCCCCAGGCCCCACCACCCCAAGTTCCGGCCCGGGCGGGGCCGTAGGAAAGGTGCAGATTGGTTTGGCCGGGGCGGCCGGCAGCCCGGCCAGGCCTTTGTGCGGCCAGGGTCACCCGCTGACCTCCCAGGCCTCGGCCAGCCCAGACAGCCCCCAGGCCCTTTGGCATTCCGGGTGGCGGCTCAGGCGGCGTGCCCAGTGGACCCACACCGGCACCCCCAGGTGATCTCATCCTTGGGTCCGAAGGCGCTTCTGGGACTGACCACCGGGTCCGGGGCTGCTGCGCAAGAGAGGGCCACGGGGTGCCAGGGAGACTGGCCCCGGCCCGTGGGCTGAAGTTCTTGCCACACCACAGCCGGGTGCCCCTGCGTGCTGAGTCTGAGGGCCTGCCCGGCACCCGGGGGGTCTGAGTCCATCTCTCAGCTCAAGGGGCACCGTCTGGCCCCTCCTACCTCCTGCAGGGCACAGTGGCTTCCTGTGGCTCAGCCGGGGCTTGGGCTGAGGCTGCCTGGACCGGCCCGGAGCCGGGGGGGGGGGTGGGGGGGGCACTGAGAAGGGTCCAGCCCTGGGCAGTCTCTTGAGCCCCTCTCTGTCCCCTGCCCCCCCCCCCCCCCCCCACTGTGCGGAGGGCCTCCCTCAGAAATAGCACTAACAGCAGAGCCCACACAGCTAGGTGGGGAGAAACAGCTGGAATGTTCTTTCTCTTTCCTTGGAGATCTCTCTGGGGGCCCTGAGAGGTCAAGGCTTTTGAACTAAGGGAATCAGCCACAGCCAGCCCCCAGGTCCCCCCGGAGCCCCCAGAGCCCTTTTCTCCTGCCCTGAAGCAGCCAGGGGCCAGGGGGCGCCCAGGGCAGCGGGCAGCGGGCAGACAGGACCTTGCCTGTGGGCAGTGAGCGTGGGGAAAGCTTGGAGGGACCCGTGTAGAGAGAACAGATGGGGGTCCCTGGAGGGGTCCCCACGGCTCCCAGGCGGTTGCCTCGCCGGCCCCGGCCCACACCTCAGTCCCCATGTCACACACACAACACGACCAGGGCTCGTTCACAGGGTTTATTGGATCAGCTGGGGTGCAGGCGCGGCTGGCTCTGGGCGCCGGGCCCGCAGCAGGCGCCGCCCCTAGTTGCAGTAATTCTCCAGCTGGTACAGGGAGCAGATGCTGGTGCAGCACTGCTCCACGATGCCCCGCTTCCGCAGGGGCCCCCCCGGGGCCGGAGGCTGCAGGCCGCCCGCGCTGGGTGCGCCCCCCAGCTCCACGTCCCTCGCTGCGGAGGAGCAAGCGGACAGCCACTCAGGGAGAGGCCGCGCTCCCCGCCTGCCCGCGTGCGGGCTGCTGCCCGGGTCCCCTCCGAGGGCTCCCAGGCCGCAGGGAGGGGCGGGGGCGGGGGGGCCGGCGCGGAAGCCCTTGGTGCCCGACCCTGACCTTTCGGGGTGTGGCCGAGGGGAAGGAGGGAAGCCAGGGTGGGGTTAGCGGGGCGGCAGGGGCTCACCCTGAGGGTCCTCCGCCTCCCGGCGGGCCTTGGGCGTGTAGAAGAAGCCTCGCTCCCCGCACACCAGGTACAGCGCCTCCACCAGGTGGGAGCCGCACAGGTGCTGGTTGACGAAGGCGTGGGTCGGGGCCGGCGTCCAGAGGGCCAGCAGAGCGAGCAGGGGCAGGAGGCGCGTCCACAGGGCCATGGCGGGGGCAGTGACCTGGGGGACAGGTGGCGTTGGGGCCGGCAAGGGGCAGCTGCCCCACGCAGGACACCCACCCTGTGCTCACCCCCCAGATGCCCTGTGCTGGGAGCTCGAGAGCCCGGGCCGGGGTCCCCGACACCCTGAGGTCAGCGGGGCAGCCTCGGGCTGACGCAGAACCCACGGGGACAGACCTGCTTGCCGTCCGTGTCAGGGTGCAGGCGGTCCCGGGGGGCGCTGGCTTTATAGCTCCTGACCCCACCTCCCGGCCCGTCAGGGCCCCCAGTGGGGGTGGCAGATGGCCCGGGGCTGAGGCTGCAATTTCTGGATCATTTCCCCTGTGTGGGTCCGTGGGGGCAGCTCCTCCGTCGTCAGCACCTCTCGGGGCCACGGGGTCATTAGAGTCTTAACGAGGCCCTGATGGCCTCTCACAGCGGGGGGCAGACGTCTCCACCGGCGCAGAGCCCCGCCCAGGCCTCGCCTGAGCCACATTTTCCACATTAGCCCAGGGGCGCAGGGGGCTCAGGGGAGGGGGCTTCTGCCTGGACCCTGGGCCCCTTGGACGGTGCACGGGGGAGCCTCCCCTCCCCGCTCACGGCCCTACCCCCACCCCAGCACCCCAGGGCCGAGCTTGGGGACCAGCCGCCGTGTGGACGCTGGGGCTAAGGCTCTGTGCGGGGGGGCACATGGCCTACCCACGTACCCCTGGGTGCCCACCCCTGTTTCCGGAGCCCCTGCCCATCTCCCCCCGCTGACCCCTTTCAGACCATCAGCCCCCTTGGCTGTCGCACGGTTTGGGTCCCCAAGTACCCCCCACCCCCACCCCCCCAGACAGGACCAGGAGGGAGGCCAGACCCCCTCCCCTCCCCCTGCCACCTGCAACCGTCTCGGGCACCGAGTCCGCGGACCCTTCGCAGCTGAGAAAGGGGCTGAGCCTGCCCCTCCTCTTGCCTCAGACCAAGGGGACAGGAGGGGCACCCTGCACCCCTGACCCCCCGCACGGACCCCAGTCTCCAGCCTGTGAAATACTGACACCCCTGCCCAGGAAGTGCTGCCGTGTGCCCCCGGAACAGCCGGGGCCCACCCGCTCCGAGCTCAGCCCCCCACCCCCATGCGGGACTCCGTACAGGCTGATGCCAGCTCTCACGGGCACCTTGCCCACCGCTGCCTCTGCCCAGGCCATGCTGAGGCAGTGCCCGCTCTGACCCCCGAGGCCTCCACACAGCAGGGAAGGTCTAGGGGGTCTCTGGAGAGGAACGTGCAGGACTGGAGGCTGGGGGGCACGAGCCGGGTGAGAGGGCACCGCCCCGGGGCAGCCGGGCCTCAGCCCTTCCCCGGGCTCACGGCCGTCAGGAATGGCCCCACTGGGGTAAGGGAGGCCCGGGCACGGGCCAGGTGCTTAAGCCACAGATGGGGGAAGGACAGACCCCAAGGAGGGCTTTGCCTCGAGGGCTTTGACAGTTGAGCAGGAGTTTGCCAGGATTGGCATCCCGAGAGCTCAAGCCAGGGCCCTGGAGGTGCGTGGCGGTGGGTGGATGTCAGGACTGAGCAGGGCCCCGGGGGACTGGCTGGCAAATCCCTGGAAGCCCCCAGACTGCTCTCTCCAAGGGCCAGGGGAAGGGGTGGGAGGGGCACGCCGGGCCGGGCCAGCCCTGGTGGACGCTGGGGCCTGGCTGGAGGGCCATGTCCAGGCCCCTCGAGTGAGCAGAGGGGCATCTCACAGAGCTCAGAATCCACCCTCGGGCGCCGTGCGGGGACGCAGGCCCAGAGAGGTCATCCGGGAACCCCCTCAGCTGAGCGCCCCATGGGCACGCGCATCCGGGGCAACTCCCAGGCCCTGCTCTGTGGGGGTGGGGTGGCCCAGGGCCCCGTTCCTGCACCTGGCCGCACGGGCTGGCCTGTCCCCCGTCCTCCCAGTGGGGACACTCCGCTGTGGCGAGCGCCCGGCCTGCAGGCCTGCCTTGGAGAGCACGCCCCCAGCCCCAGCGCCGTGAGCCCCGCCCCCCCAGGGACCCCCCAGCCCCCGCCCCCATGCCGTCACAGCGCAGAGGTGATGCGGCAAAGCAGGGACCCCCTCAGCCTTCCGGCGCTGCTGGGGGCTCAGCCCAGGCTGGTCCTCTGGGGCGAACGGGGCACCCAGGCGCAGAGGGGACTCCTGCCCGGCCTGGGCTGCCTGCTGAGGTCTGGAGGGGGCGGAGGACAGAGGAGGCTGCGCAAGCCGGGATCAGGGTGCCCGGCGCCCGAGCCCAGCACTCAGACGCGGAGGCCAGGGAGGTGCTTGGAGGGCTCTTTCCTTTATTGAGCTTGCGAGAGGCGGCGCACGGCGTCAGGGGCAGGCCGAGCTGCCAAGCGGTGGGGCGGGGGTCAGCGGGGTGCCCTCCAGCAGGGACGGTCTCCGGCAGGCCCCGGGGGTGCCCGGTGGCCCAGCCCCTCACTTGGGCGGGGGCCGGGGAGGCGCGAGGGTCTCCGCCCGCCCTAGCCGATGGCGCTCAGCGCTTGGGCGAGGCTGTGCAGCTCATCCTGCACATCCTGCAAGGAGCGCCGGATGGCGCGGGGACTGTCCAGCACGTCGATGGCCAGGGTGTACGGGTCAAACTTCACAGAGAAGGGGCGCTGGATGCGGGAGGCGTAGTTCCTGGGGAGGCAGTGGGCACAGGCCCTTGGTCACCCGGCGGGGACGCGGGGGCCCTGGGGAGATGGGGGCAGGGTCTGCGGCCTCCTTCACTGCTGCGGGGCGAGAGCTGCCTGGACCCCAAAATCTCCTCGTGACCAACTGCTCGGACAAGATGGGGGACCGAGGCCTTTTGCGAAGGTGGGGGCAGGGGAGGCACAGGCCTTCTCCAAGCAGGTCTCTGCTGGACCCCCATCCCTCCCACACCTCCTCCAGGAGGCCTTCCCCAGGCTGTGTGCTGTGCAGAGCCTCAGGTCTGCCCTATGCTTGCTTGTGGGATCCAGCCCTCCCCTCCTCCCCACTCTGAACACCCAGCCCCTGGGCCTCAGTTTCTCCTGGCCGAAGACCCTTTCCACGAATGAGCAGGTGGGCATCTCGGGCTTTGCCTCCTTGCCCAGATGTCAGGTCACACGCCGTCAGGCTCCCTCCAGGCCCCCAGGCTTTCCGTGCTGGCCCTCAGCCACCCCTGCCCCTCCTCTGTCCCACCCCGTGGCCCCAGCTGTTTAGAGGCTGGGAAGAACCCCACGCATCCTTCTTATAGGGATCACACTCTGGGGGCGCCTGGGGGGCTCAGTCGGTTAAGCGTCCGACTTCGGCTCAGGTCATGATCTCACAGCTCGTGGGTTCGAGCCCCGCGTCGGGCTCTGTGCTGGCAGCTCAGGGCCTGGAGCCTGACTTGGATTCTGCGTCTCCCTCTCTCTCTGCCCCTCCCTATTCGCGCTGTCTCTCTCTCTCTCCGAGAAATAAATGAAACATTTAAAAAATTTATAAAACTAAGGACCACACTCTGTCTCCTAACACCCAGACTTGACCAGGCCACCAGCCTGGCGGGTCTCCCCACCCCAGACTTTTTGGGGTCCCGCTGCGGGAAGGGTATGCACAGCGTCCTCTGGGAAATGGGTGCGCAGGCCCCGGCCTGCCGCGGGCTCGCCGGGTCTGGGGGCCTGGTGGGGGGTCTGGGCACCTGAGCTTGTCCTTGGCGTCACTGAAACTCTCGGACACGAAGTAGACAGACTGGTAGGTCTGGTCCTGATAGGGCTGCACGGCCGCGGCATCCGGGTCGAAGGCCCGGATCTCGGGCTCCTCAGACAGAGAGTGCTGGAGGGAGGCCGCGGGGTCACGGGACCCCCCGCCCCGGCCCAGCGGCCCTGACCCCACACCCTCCTCCCCGGGGCGGGGGGTCCTCCTGCGGGCTGGGGGCCGTGTGGGTGGGGCCGGGCCGAGATGAGTTTCTAGGCCCCTGGCCCGGGTCCAGGAGGCCCAGCGCGGCCACCCTCCCCCTGGGGGCTCTGGGGGGGCAGCCTCACCAGGAGCTCCCCGTAGGAGGAGAGCAGTCCGGCGCCGTAGGCCTTCACCTCCCCGTTCTGCTTGCACAGCCCGAACTCCACCGTGAACCAGTACAGCTGGCGGGGCAGGAGCGGCGCTGGCCCAGGGGTAGCCGCCGCCCGCACCGCCGCCCCCCTGCCCTCGGGCCTGGGGCACCACCCGCTCCCCTGGGCAGAGCCCAGCCATGCTCTGGGGGGTCCCAGCATAAAGGTGATGCTCCCTGGATAGACGTGGGGGGGCCCGGCCTGAACCCAGGTGTCCTGCGGGAGCCCCCACGGCCCTGCAGGGAAGGACCCACCGTGGACAGCTTCTCAATCTCCTCGTCGGAAGCCCCCAAGGACGCGAGCCCGATATCCTGTGGAGGAAAGAGGAGGCGGAGAGGGGAGAGGCTCGGCCTACCGCTGCATGGCACCTGCGTCAGGGGCCTCCTGGACGCCACCCAGCACGCCAGGGCCCTCTGGGGATTCGGGGACCCTCCCAGGGCCTGGGGAGCCTCCTGGGAGGGGGGACCTTCCCAAGATGCAAAGGTCCTCCAGATATGCAGGGGCCCTCCTACAGTGGGGGGGGCTCCTGGGACGCAGGGACCCTCCTACGGTGGGGGGGGGCTCCTGGGACGCAGGGGCCCTCCTACGGTGGGGGGGGGCTCCTGGGACGCAGGGACCCTCCTACGGTGGGGGGGGGCTCCTGGGACGCAGGGACCCTCCTACGGTGGGGGGGGGGCTCCTGGGACGCAGGGGCCCTCTCAGGATCAGCGGAGGGCCGAAGGCGGCTCCTGCTGTTCTTCAGGAAGCGGCCAGCAGGTGGCAGCACAGGCCACGGGAAGCCCCAGCTTGCGGGCTCTGCGCCCGGCTGCCGCCTTCTCCTTTATCAGGGGTTTCCCCAGAATCCGTCCAAGCGCACCCAGCGCCGGCCGCCCACGCCTCCCTTCCAGCACGATGCCGTCTCCCTGAAGCCTCACGGACCCAAGTGGGCACCGTCCGGCCACAGAGGGACTGGGGCGTGGCCCTGAGGCTCCGCAGCAGGCGGCACGCCCCCAGCCCCCCCCCCGCCCCCGACGACCCCGCCTGGGGCCTCAGGGGCAAACCTGGGAGAACTGAGCGAAGGTGCGGTCGGCCAGCATGGGCACGTGCCCCAGCAGCTCATGGCAGCAGTCCCTGTGGGGAGCGGAGGGGGCAGCGCTGGGGTCGGGGCGCCCAGCTGCCCCCCCATCCCTGCGGGCCGCGAATGGAGGGCGGGGCAGGCCAGAGCCCCCGGCGCACTCACGGCTCGGGGGAGTGCATGGGCGACGAGGCGTGCCGGATGTACTGGGTGCACTGGAACACCCGGAAAGCCAGGCTGGCCAGGAAGTCGCGGGCGGACAGCAGGCCGGCCACGGGCCGCAGCTGGAAGCCCGTCCGCTCTGCAAGGCCGGCGGGTCAGGGCGCCCCGAGGGTGGGCGCCCCCCCCCCCCGCCCGCCGGCCTCTGCCCCGCAGCCGCGCACCCTTCAGGAAGCGGGACACGTCCTCCAGCTGTGGGATGCGGTCCTCCCGGTACCCGCTGAAGCGCTCCAGCAGCTGGAAAGCCTCCAGGTGCTCGCGGCACGCGTGGGTCGCGTAGAGGCCCTTGAGGGTGGTGTAGACCTCCTTCCTGCAGGCGGGCGGCTCAGGCCTGGCTCTGGAGGCCCCGGTCCCCGGCGGCCGGGCCTCCTCGCCACCCGGGTGCTGGCCCCTCCCCTCCTCACCCTGCTCTGCCTCCAGCAGCTCCACGGGGGGGGGCGGACACTGCAGACCCCTCGCTGGAGCCAGGAGACCCCGGCCCCGGGGAGGTGGGGGTTCCAAGGGACAGAGGCGGTGCGGACGGCCTGACCCACCACCAACCTGTCCTTCTAGACTGACAATCAGGGCCTTGGGAGGCCTTTTCCCTCCCCCGGCCGTCACACGTGGGGACTCGGGGGTCTTCCCCTGGCCCTCCTTGCCTCCTCCGCACCAGGCATGGGCACCAGGGTCTTACCAGGTGGCGATCTCCTCGGCCGTGTACTCCACGCGGGGAATGGGGTCGCCGCTGCAGAGGAGGTGTGAGTCAGCGGGGCCCCCGGGGGAGGGGTGCGGGGAGGCCAGGGGGACCCCCGGGGGAAGGCGTGTGGGGAGCGGACAGGAGGGGCTTGGGGCTGAACGCCCAGCAGGCTGCGCGGCCTCAGCAAGCTGCCTGGTTTCCTCCATGTGTCTTGGGGACCCAAACCAGTGACCACGGTGACAGTGTTGGTGACAAAGGTGCCCCTCCCCCGTGCCGGGGTGGGGCTGCAGGTCAGGGTCTGGGTCCGTGAGGCTGAGGCCCCAAGGGCTCTTACTGCTTGTACTGGAAGGCTATCTCGGCGATCAGCTTCCTGCGCTGCCGGTACGCCTGGTCCGAGAAACCCTGGCCGCGAGTGGACGCGCTCAGGAGGCCGCCGCCGCCCCCCTGCCCGGCCAGGCCTGTCCCCCCTCCCCCCACCGCCCCTCTCCCACTTGCTGCCCCGCCTCTCCCAGCCCGTCCCCCCAGCTCGCCGGCCCCCTCCCCGCTCGCCACCCCTCCCTGCCGGCAGCCCCGCTACGGGCTGGCACTGGCAGGTGCCTGGGGGCTGCTCCTAGCCAGGCCTTGGTTTGGCCTGAGCCCACGCCCACCACCCTGGCCGTGCGTGTGGGGACACGGGAGGCCCCGGGAGGCAGCGGCTCACCGGGTGATCCAAGTCCAGGTCAGGGTCAAACTTGGTGACCAGGTGGTGGCACTTGTCCAGCTCGGAAACTTTCCTTGGGAACCAGAGGACTTCGCGGAGGACGGAAGGGACACGGGCCTGTGTGAGCAGCAGGCCCGCCCTGGACGCGGCCTCCCCGGGGGTCCCAGACGGGCGGGAGGCCTGAGCCAGCAGGGAGGGGCCCCCCAGGCTGGGGCCCCCTGCGGGAGACTCTATGCCCCCGTCTCAAGGTCATGGGTTGCCCTCAAGGACAGCGGGACACCTCACCCTTGTTCTCCCCGGCGCCACGCACGTCCTCAGCCACGCGGCGCACGGAGCTGAGCAGGGCGGGCAGGTCGGCGCTGGGCACCTCACAGCGCACAAAGTACTCCAGGTGCGGGCCCCCTGCCCGCGGCCTCTGGGCGGGCCGGGTCTCCAGGTGATGGATTTGGGCTTCGTACGTCTTAGGGAACAAGGGAGAGATGGAGAGAGACAGAGAGACAGGTGGGGAGATTGACAGAGAGATGGAGAGATAGAGACGGAGAAACAGAGAGACAGAGATGGGGAGAGAGATAGAGAGACAGAGAGACAGAGAGATGGGGAGAGACAGACACAGGAAGGGAGAGGAAGACGGAGAGACGGGAAGGAGGAGCCGCCCTCGGCTCTGCCCCCGCGGCCCCCCCCCGGACGTCTGCCACCGTAATGCCCCTGCTGTGCTTCACACGCAGGCGGACCCCGCCGCCTGGGCAGAGCCTGTGGCTGGGAAATTGGATTTCGACCAGCGTGTGTAAAGGGAGCCCTCACAGTGGCCCCTGTGCCTGGTGTTCTGGGCGCCCTGACATGTCCCTCGGCCACACCCAAGCTTCCTGTGTCCCCAGACGCTGGTCAGAAGGTCCCGCCGTCCCTGGCAGCCTCATCCGGGCCCACTGCCCACCGGCCGCACCCTGGAGCTGGGGGGCGGGCCCAGGTCCCACGCCAGCCGCTGAGCACCCAGGGGTCTGGCAGGAGAGCTCCGCTCACCCCTGCCGCCCTCCATCGCCCAGCAACAAGGGCACCTGGGTCTCGACCGGCCCTCGGCCACTCGGCCGTCCAGGAGCTGGGGGGGTCCAGCTGTGATACCATCCGGGCCTTTCTGCCGGGGCAGGGTCCCGCCCGGCCTGCGGTGGCCAGAGCGACTGATGCAATCGGCCGTCACGTGAGCCAGAGCCCATCGGGGCAGGCGGTGAGGGGACGCTGCTGGGAGCCCCACCCACGTGTGAGGTGGTGGCGGCGGGTGGGGGTGCGCAGGGCTTGGGCTCAGGGAGCTCCCGAGATCATGAGGGGCGTCGCAGGGCCGTGGCCCCCCCAGAGCTGCCCCCAGGGGCCGGGACTCGCCTGAGACAGCCCGGCCGACGCCGCCCTCACCTCAAACGCCTTCACGGCCCGGGACAGCGAGGAGGTCTTGGCGCCCCGCAGGGTGAAGATCAGGTTCAGCATGGACTTCCCGTCCTTCTCCTTGAGCACTGCGGCCTCCAGGGGGTCCCCGGGCTCTGAGGAGGCGGCCGACGCGGCCTCTGCCTTCTCTCGCTCCTTGCGGGCATCCTCGATGAGGCTCTGTCGCCGGCCGATGAAGCGCGGGGACTACGGGGAGAGAGTGTGCCCAGCTCCCCCTCCTCGGGCCACCCCGGTCCCGGGCTCTGGCCCGCTGGTGCCCGCAGCCCATGCCATGTACTCCGGAGGGGCCAGCAGCTCGGGCCACGCCCGCTGTGGCAGCGCTAAGAGCCTGTCCCTACCCGATGGTGGGGGGGCAGCCAGGAAGATGAGGAGCCACAGCGTGGGGGCGGGCGAGGCCGGAGGGTGGCCCACGGCACCCCCACGCTGCCTGGCCTCTGTCCCCAGGCCCTAACGGGATGAGGCGACAGGAGGTATGACTCAGGACCCTGAGGTGGACAGTGGCCGGAGTGCTGGGGAGGGCGGGGGACGAGCTGTCAGGAACGTGGTTCCTGGGCAGAGCCCCTCGCCAGCCCCTCGGAGCGACCTCTCCTTAGGGTCCCTCCTGTCCCTTCCCCACAGCACAGGGACATGTGGCCAAACTTAGCTCTTCGTCTGGGGCCAGGTGCCCGGGGCCACAGCCTGTCCCCAAGATGGAGGCCCCCAGGCCTGCGTGGGGGAGGGGCTGCACGTCTGGGGCTCATCCCTTGGAGCCGAACTTCCAGGAAGGTTCTAGAACCCTTGGGCCTTGGATGGTGGTGTGAGGGTGCAGGGGGGCGAGGGGGGCCCTGGGGCTTCCTGGGTGGGGAGGCCATCTCACTGAGAAGCTGCAAATCACATTTCCAGAACCCAAAGCACATCCTCATTAAAGGTCTAAACACAAAAGCCCATTTGAAATGCTTTTCCGGGGGGGGACACTGAAGACCCCTCTTCCAGGCCGAGTGTCCCAGGAGGTGCCACCAAAGACAGTGCCCAGCACAGACCCCCTGAACTCAGGGGGTCTCAGGTGGTGGCTGACGCCCTGGGGACCGTCCTCTGGTCAGGGGGCCAGGGCTGCTGGGCAGGGGAGGTGGGGCTCAAGACAGGAGGCCACATGTGGGCATGATGTGTGGCCGGGGGATGGGGACATGGCGGATGGAAATCGCCCTGGAGCCCCGGCCGCCCTTGGGCTCCGAACCGGGGTCTGCGCCTGTCCGCCCGGCACCTCCCACCACGAGCCACGGCCAGGGCCCGGGACACGGCGTTGCGTGCGCCCCGAGGCTGGGGCCCCTGCCAGCCTTGGGGGACACACCTGCGCTTCCGGCCCCTTCCGGCCTCTTACCATGATGGCTTCGGCCTGCTTGGCGTCCAGCTCGGAGACGGCCCTGCGGAAGCCCTTGGCCTGCGGCGAGGCGGCGTTGGGAGTGGGCATGGTGCTGGCGTCCGTCCGGGCTCCCTCCACAGCCCGCTGCCAGGCGGCCTCTTATAGGCTGGGCTGACGTCAAGGCCCCTGTGGGTCCCCCACCTCCCACCTCCTCGCCGCCCCTCCTGCCGCCTGAGGGAGGCGGTGGGCGGGAGCGAAGACGCGCAGGAGAAAGGGCTCTGTCCCATTAAATCTAATTGCGTCCCTGCCGCAGGCACCCAGCAGGCAGCGGCCTTGCTCTGAATCATCTGGGCTCCGGCAGGCGGGCTCTGCGGGGTTGGGGACAGCTGGGGTCCCACTGGCACACGGGGAGGTGCTATTCCAGGCCCCCCAAGAGCGCACGTGACACAAAACCCCAAGCCTCAGTGGCAGGGGGCCCAGAAACCCCCAAGAGAAGAAACCCAGACTCAGACCTCAGACGGATGTCGAGAGGCCTTTTGCTTTTCCGGAATATTCTTCACCAAATTTCCCAGCAGGGTCCCACAGCATGTCGCCATCAGATGCCACCAGCAAGAGTCTTATCTGTCCCTTGTCCCAGGTCCCTGTGGCCAGATCCCCAGGCACGGCCAGTGATACCTGGAATGTTCCAGAAAGGCCCACCCCTCCAGGGTCAGGAGACTGGGAAGCCGGGCGAGGGAAGTCTATATCAATTGTCCCTTGGGTTCTGTGGCCTGTCCCCTCGGCCTGAAGCCTACCTCTCACAGCCCGCCACTCCACCCCTGCTTTCTCCCTGTCACGGGGCCCAGGGTCCTAGAGACCATGGGACAGGAGGGGATCCCTCCGCAGCTGCGGGCCGGCGTGAGCCCCATGGCACCAATGCGACAGGGACGGCGGCCTCCCTAGTGCCCTAGGCATTGTGGGCTCAGCACTGGGAAGTGCAGTGTGGAGGGAGGGGAGGTCCCCCCACCCGGAGGCCACTGCCCGGCCACTCCAGTCCAGAGCCCCCACACTGGAAGCTGGTAATCCAGGCAGACAGACTTCCTAGACCCCCTCCTCATCACAGGGGCTGGCGGCCCCCAGGCCCTTCCCCCACACTGGTCTGACCTTGTCATTCTCTTGCTTCACAGCCCTCTGTGGCTCTCCATTGCCCTCTGGAAGCAGCCTGGGGTCTCAGTCAGAGCAAAGGGAAGCGTCTACTCCCGTCCCCCACCCCCGTTGACCTCACCCCGGGCTATTCCCACCTCCTGTTCCAGGAGAGCTCGGGGCTCCGTGATGCCCCGTCTGAAACACTCACCCCTTTCTCCTGGTGAGCTCCTATGCATCCCGCAAAACCCAGCTCAGCCACCATTCATCCTGTGATGTCCACGCTCTCTTGCCTCTGATATTAACCTCCATGCCCTGCTCTCCTCCTGGCACATCCCTCCTGCTCTGCACACTCTCAGAGGGCAGGAACCCCTCCAGCTGGGCCACCGCGTCTCCTGGCACCTGGCGGACGCCCCCACCTGCCTCATCTCCTAGACTCTGGGCTCAAGAACACATCTCAGTGGCCTCTGCTTCTGATGCCAGGCCCAGAGTGGGTCTTTCCATAGGGATGGGTGTGCGGTGAAAGAATGTGCTGCGGGGGGCTGACGTGGGGGCTGCACCTGAGCCCCCAGGGCCCCGGATGGCATCCAGGCCTCCCGAAACTCTGGGCAGACCCCCTGCTCATTTGCCCCCTCTGGGGTGGGTTGCTAGGGACTCTTTAGTGACGCTGGTCCAGGCCTGTCCGTTAGCCCAGGGGGACGTGGGGCAGGGGGTTAAATACCACGCAAGAGGAGCGCAGACCTTTGCTGAGTGTGGATTTAACCTTTCGGCAAATGTCTTCTGCTGACACAAATATTGTTTTTTAATTCCTTTGCCTACCTGAGCCAGCGCGGGCCTGCGCGGAAGCTCTCCGGGGGCGGGGGGGTGGGGGGAGGCTAAGCTTTCTGCATCCTTCCCTGGGGCCAGGTGGCAGTGGGCAGGGGGGCGGAAGCCAGGGGATGCCCTCCCAAGGTGAGCACTGCCCACTCTGGCCTCCAGCCTCACCTGACTAGGTGTCTGTCTGTCTGTGTGCGTGTCGGTCCATCCCAGGAAGCCTGTCCTACACACCCGTGCTCCAGGGCCGGCTGGGCCCGGTCTGGGCCCCTCCTCCACGCCCCAGGTCCACACCGGCCAGCCCCTCTTTCCTGACTCAGCACCTCGTGTTCTCCGGCCCATTCGTGGGTCCCCCTGCATCCGGGGCCAGTGAGCTGTAGCCCCTGCTGGCACTGTTGAGGAGTCTGTGGACCTATCCTGCAGATGGGAGACTGAGGCCCCAGGAGAGTGATAGAGTGATTTCTCTGGTCCTGCAGTGTCTCGAGCCCGGGATACCCAGCTCCCAAGACACTGCCCTTTCAAGGGTCCCATGGTGTCAACCCCCAGATGTCACCCCCAGGTGTCACCCCCAGGTGTCGGCCCCCAGGTGTCGCCCCCAGGTGTCACCCCAGGTGTTGGCCCCCAGCTGTCACCGCCAGGTGTCGCCTCCAGGTGTCGGCCCCCAAATGTTGGCCCCCAGGTGTCACCCCCAGGTGTCACCCAAGGTGTCGGCCCCCAAATGTCGGCCCCCAGTTGTCGCCCCAGATGTTGGCCCCCAGGTGTCAGCCCAGGTGTCAGCCCAGGTGTCACCCCAGGTGTCAGCCCCCAGGTGTCACCCCCAGATGTCACCCCCCAGGTGTCGCCCCATGTGTCGGCCCCCAGGTGTCACCCCAGGTATCACCCCAGGTGTCAGCCCCCAGCTGTCACCCCCAGCTGTCACCCCCAGCTGTCACCCCCAGCTGTCACCCCCAGGTGTCACCAGGTGTTGGCCCCCAGGTGTCGGGCCCCTCCTGGCCACAGGGGAGGAAGGTAAGGGGTGGATGGAAACCACCTGCCCTGCCCCAGGGGCAGAGGGCAGGGCTTCGAACCACGGCAGGGGAGGTGGGCACAGGGAGGGCATGGGGGCCCTGCTGGACAGACAGCCCTGGGCTGTGAGCCGGTCTGGGGGCACAGGGCAAGGAGCACGGACGCTGGGGCCCGGCTTTGGGGCTGAACTGGGAGGAAGGACCAGCCTCTGCGCCCTGCTCACGGCCTGGGCAGCACCGCCCCCCATCACCCTGAGTAATCGCAGCCTCAGTCTCAGAGCGGCCTCTGCGCCTGGGCTCCAGAGGACGTAATAGCCCATAATGACAGGGCGCCGCCCCCTGGCATCAACCGGGCGCCGGGCGCGGGGCAGGGACAGAGCAGTTGGCATTCAACGTCAGCTTCGCAGCTG